TGTGGTTAAGAGGTTAGACTGCAGTCAATTGACCTTAACCAGTTATTTAACTGCTGTGTGCCTCAGTTGTCTCATCTGTAGAATAGAGCAAGAATAGTGTCTAACTTGTAGATTTTTTGAGAAGCTTATATTATTTTACATAATATGTGTGTATATGTATATACACACATAAAATTATAATAACAAATAACACCTGGCATACAGTAATTGCTATATAAGTGAAAGGCATTGGGGGTGCTTTTGTTGTGTTGTTATGGCAGAAGGAAGGGGTCCTTTAGTCTTATTATTCAGCAAAGATTAGTGGTGACTGTGGATTTCTTCAGATTTGAAGACCTCAAAATTTCCATCTTCCTTTTACCATCCCATTTCCCCACCTTCCTGTTCCATGCTCTTCTTTACTGGAATCTATATACCCTGTTGCTTATCTTTTTTTACATTGATTTCTCTTAGCTTTTCTCCCCAGCTCTCATGACATGTCTCTCTTCTTCCTTGTGCCTTCCGTCTTTCAGACTGTTTGAAAGACCTGTCGCTGATGATGGCAATAGTAAAGTTCTCAATGATTTCATCAAATCCATTTATCAGTCAGAAAGCACCCATATTTTTAGTGACGGAGTAGATGGCAAAGTGCAAAAATTAACGAGGAACAAAGGTGGTTTGTGGTTTTCTCTTTTGGAGCAGATGACTGCAGCTCAAAGGAGACTTGCAAAGAATGTAAAAGAGTCACATTAATACCTGAGTGACAATTCCACAGAGGACACTCAATTATCTCTGATTTTGGAGAGAAGTACCGATGAACCAAAAACAAGTTGATATGTTCTCACAATAGCCCTCAAATGTAGAATTCTAATTCCGATGAAGTACTTGTGTGCTTATCCTCAATTCTCTCTCCCAATCAATATTCTTTCAGTTTCTTCTGTTATTTGGTGGAAAAAGCTTCAATTAGCTGATTATCTGTCTTTAGCACATTTCTTTTACTTCTTACGGTGTTTGATTGCCTCCAAACAAAGAAAGCTAACAATCTATTTTTGTTAAGGAAGGTGTTTTGTCTGTAGGAGTCAGAGAGCATCTGAAAGGAGCTGGGGTGTGCTTGGCCCGAGGAGGGGATTTAGAGGAAGCCCCGGTGCAGCACCAGTGCACCCAGGGAATAGTTAAAGCACTGAGTTTAAAATCCACAAATCCTGCATTCTGATTGGGAATATATTTTAATTCCGATGGGTGTGTCTTTTTGCTATTTGTGGATGCTTTAAAGAAAAAAATCAGACCCCTCATGCGCTCTGCCTCTGGGGAAGTCAGCTTCCACACGTGGCCCTGGATCATTCTATTCTGCTTACCAAACCATGCTAAGTAGTAAAATCTGTTCTTAAAATCATGTAAAGCCCCAGATTAAACAGGTCTGTCTTTCTTTCTTAAGCTTATTGCCTAACTGACTCATGCCTGGCTAAGGGTTATGGGAAGGTAGTTCACGTGGCCTGAATCCAAGTCATATTAAGTCTTACCAAATAGCAAGATCTAGCAAGAGCCGGTTGGATCTTCATGGAAACAAGCAAAAAACCTCTAATCAAATAGTATAAAGAGGAATCAATGTGCCTGCATTACTATTACTATTAGATAACATTTTTGGAGTGCTTAGGCCTGTGCAGGCATTGCTTTAAATACTTTACTTGAAGAATTCTTTTAACCTTCACAACAATCCTTTGAGGTAGGGACTACTATTATTAGGGACTATTACTATTATTACCTCTACTATATGGATAGAGAAATTTAAGCCAAAAAATATCTATCCTCACGCCTATAATCCTAGCACTCTGGGAGGCTGAGGTTTGAGGATTGCCTGAGCTCAGAGTTTGAGACCAGCCTGGTGAACATAGTGAGACCCTTCCATCTGTACAAAAAATTAAAAAATCAGCTGGGTATGCTGGCACATACCTGTAGTCACAGCTACTTGGGAGGCTGAGGCAGTTGTACCGCTTGAGCCTGGGAGTTTGAGGTTGCAGTGAGCTATGATGATGCCACGCACTCTAGCCAGGGCAACAGAGTGAGACTTTGTCTCAAAAAACAAACAAACAAACATACAAAAATGAATTTATCAGCTTGCCTGCGATTATCAGTTTGTTACAGACAAAACCAAAATGACACCAAAAATGGTTTGACCCATTTCCTTTTAGGGATTTTAATACTTTATAGATTTCTATAGGGGAAAAAAAGTAATTTGTTTTACTTTAATACTTGTAAGAGTTGAGAAAAATGATGATTTTGAGGAAGATGCAGTGAACTTATGAGGTGATAATAAAAATACATCTCTATGAGCATTGATAGTTGACTATAGATAAAATAAGTATTTGGATCCTACTCTGTTTTTCATGTTTCCAGCCATTTCTAATTTTTAATAATTCTCTTTGCTACATAATTATAAATGAAAATGTATATGCTGTTATTAATAGTTCCCTCAGGTAGATAGGTTACCATTCTCGAAGAATTTAAAACTCATTTGAAATGTTCTTTGTGAAGGCACAGTGCTAAACAATGTCCATCTGTCCACCTGGGCCATTCTCCACCATTCCCCACCCTTCCCCATTCTGCTAGAGGTCTCAGGGTACTAAACTGCATGAATGGAGTGGATAGTTACCATTGTCCTTGGTTTCTCAAAGGGTTTATCTAATTTGAGGCTCTGGCAGGTGAGAGGATGGAAAGAGAGTGAGGCCAAGGCATCTGGTTCTCTCCCTGGTGGGTCACCTCATGGTGGCTGCCTGAGGATTCTGCAGCTCATCTTAGGTGGCCTTCTCTAAACTGCTATTTTGGGGCTCAGCAACTGCTCCCTCTCTTTACTCCATTAGGCCTAGGGGTTCGAAAATGCTCCTGACTACTACTAATCTAAGCTTCAATGAAGCTCTTGCCCACACCTTTGTAAGTCCTGCCTCTACGCTGCTCAATTACTCAATCTGAGTATGCCATCTATTCCCTGCCTAGATCCTGATTGAAACAGAAACCTTTAAAATTTAGTACAATTTCATCCATTTATTATTAATCTTTGCATGTAAAACCATTTTTTTCTTCATTATTTCAACTGAAAGAAACTCCACCAAGTTTCTGCTCATAAGCATATGGTGTAATTTCTGAAACTCAGGTGGAATTTGTAACCCTTTATTTAACAGCAATTCTAAGTTGTGAGTAATTTCCATTTTAATCATAGAGAAAAATTTTAAATTAATTGTGCATGACAGAATTAAGTAGTGTCATTACCATCTCTGTATATTATCAGAGCCATTGGGGTGAAGAGGCTTCCCAATGATGAATAAACTGCTTCACTTCCTGGTGTTGGTTGACCTAATACGTTTTTGAGTGGTTAGTGAATCCTTAAATTATTCAATTGTTACGAAGAACACAGATGAGATGAGGATAGATTTGTGTGCTATTATAATAGATGTGTGCTATTATAATAGATGGCCAATCTAAATATTTATTTCAGGAGTTTTGGTCCTTTTATGAATGAGGGTGGGTAGAAACTCACTAGAGTTAAAATCCATATTGGCATCTCTTTTCTGCAATTGTATCATTTTCCCAAAATCCAAGTCTTAAAATACCTGCTGGGATTCAGGACCAAAAGGCCTTCTATTTTATGAAATGGTTGTATATATTGAACAAATAAATACATAATTGACTTTATGCTGTACTATAGACATAATCTGAATGAAAGTTTAAAACAATGTAAGAATTATTAATTGATACCTTTCAAACTATCTTGTATCTTAAACACCAAATATGATTAAGATATTCAGGTGTTCATGTAAGGTTCTTGGGAGATTCATATAAGACAATTGTAAGAAAAGTGTAAATTCCAAATACAGATTTAATAATGTACTTATAACTGCGCAAAAGTTATTAATATACTCAAGATATATATTTTGGTTATTGCTACAGTTAGCCTTTGGTGCATAATTAATCACCTTAAAAGTTATCAATTTTTTATCAACAAAAAAGTTGATAACTTCTAAGGTGAACATAACATAGCAGAAACTTGAGATTGAATAACAACCTTGAAATTCAAACTGACATCATATATTATTGTTTGCATATTCATTTAACTCTTAAGTCTATTGGGCAGGGATTTGGGCAGGGCTCAGCTAGGTAATTCTGGTTTCAATGGGATCCATTCCAGCATATTCAGTCAGCAGTTAGGTTGATTGGGAGCTGGCTAGTCTAGGATCACTTTTGCTAAGAGAAGTCATCTCGGTTCCACATGGTCTCTCATCCTCCAGCAGGTTAGCTGGACTTATTCACACAGCAGCTGGGTAGGATTCTAAGGAAGCTAGTAGAAGCATGGAAGTAAGGCACAGCATCACTTCCACCGTATTCTATGGGCCAAAGCAAGTCACAAAGCAGTTATAATTTAAGGGAGAAGGGACTAAACTCTATGTATTTATGGAAGGAATTTCTAAATTACAGAGCAAAAAGTCATGGAGACAAGGACAAGTGTAGGATTATCATCATTTTGCAATCTACCAAAATTAAACAATAAGGAATAATGTGGAATGGAGTGATGTACCAAATACCATACTGTGCTTTTTGGGACTAATGGAGGTGGGTATAGATGGAGTGTTGCTTTACGTGTATCAGTGTACACAGATAGAACACACACGCATATATAGATGCTTCCATTAAATATTTCTCAGAGACAAGCAGACCTTTTATACCTCACATCACTCCAGTCTGGTCTTGTTTCCTTGCTCTTTTGTCCAATCTATAGTTCTTCAATTTTCTTCTTGGTTTTTCTTTTCTCTCCTCCTACTTGCTCCCTGACTCCCAGCTCTGCTCTACTCCTTCTCTGAGTGAGTTTTATACCTCCCCTGTCTCTCTTATCCTGCTTACTGTCTATTCCAGAGTCTGGCAGAAATCAAGTCAATGAAGAAAACACTCAGTCATTTGGCAACATGAAGAAGCAATTAGATGCCAGCTTCTAAAAGGATAGAGGACATTGAAACCCCAAGTGCTGGAACTCTTACTGAAATTGCAGACAGAACAGAGGGAGAAGTACTTGAAGGGTTATTAGCTAGCCAGAGCTTGGCCCCATCACAGTTTTTCCATCGCCTGTTATAAGACAGTTTCCATGTTCTTGCTTGAGCCAGTATGAGTAGAAGTGAGATCAGTGCGCATCTGTGTGAGAGTTCCTTGGATAATGAAAGCTCGTCTCAGTCCTTTAAGAATAAGACCTAGAGAAAGTGATTCCTGGAGCATAAGGGAACTCTTTGGATACAAATGACAATGTAGAAGGATTCCAAATTCTACTGGTAATCCACAGCGCAGTTACTCTCTGAATGGTTACTAAGATGTGTATTGTAATTGGAAGCACAAAAGTAGCCATTCATTTCATTCCATACAGTACTTGATGTTGCACTGCAACTTATAGTAGGCTATTACTCAAACCTCTATTTTCTATTTTTTTTGTTGTTATTCTTTTAATTCAGACCTTGCCCCTTACCCAAGCTAGGATTGTGACTCCACTGAGGGTTTTTCAGACATCATTAACCACAGGAAGAGAACATAACACAGCAGAAACTTGGGATTGAATAACAACCTTGAAATTCAAACTGACATCATGTATTATTGTTTGCATTATATACTAAACAGTTATTAGGAACAATTAGCAATTAAAGACTCTTAGGTGCAGTTATATGGTTTTCTACAGTGTATCCTGAATAGCAGGATAAGTGCTTTGGCTGCAAGCCAATCATCAAAAAGCCCAGAGAAAACTCTCATTTAAAATGTGTGCTCCTTTATGGCCATCGAATGAAGCATGTTAATCAAGCAAAGCCACACATGAGATGAGGAAACTTCAGGTATAAACTTTCACTATGAAGCAAATTCCCATTTTATCCCAAAATCCATGTAGCCCCAAAGAAATAAGAAGACTTAGACACATATTTTCTTCACTTAGCTTTTATAAAAAAGAGACACATAATAAGCACAGAAACAAAATTCCAAAAATACTTTTAAGGGAATATGTCCTGATTCCAGGACAAAATTAGTATAATCTCTTCTATCTTCCAGTTCCTTAATACTTGACCGTGATACTTAGTGTTCATAGTAATGATCCTGAGGCCTAAATATTCTTTCTGAAGCATCAAAGTGGTATTACATCACAGTCAAGCTAATTTTAATGTTAAGTGCAGCCTATACATATTTAATTCTTTGAAAATTAGGTGGTATACGACTCGTATACTGATTTTTAGTTTTCTCACAATATTCATCTTGCCAGAGGGCCATATTCTCAATCACATTGAATAAATTGGATTTTGTGCTTTAATATGTATTGTGTTTATTTTATTAATATCAAAGTGCTGGCTTCAGTTCATCCACTATTAATAGTCATACGGCTTTTTTTTTTTTTTCTGTTTCCAAATCAGACACTGATTATATAGTAAGCCGAGCTCAATCTCTATTCAGTACAATTTTAAAGAACACAGAATAGACTGAAGGCAAGTGGCTATCCAGCTTCTGTAGAGTCGATATCAGTATGGAAAAAGATAGAGACACAAGGAGTAAAGCAGGAAATTTCAGTTGCTCACTGACCTTGCTTACTTAAATCTTTGGAGTAAACTGTAAGTAAACAGCTTACTCATATTGATTAGCATTGCTTACATTCTTCTAAATCCCAAATGTGCCATTAAAAGTATTCATGGTATGAGAGATAGGAATGAAAAGGATAGGGGTATCTATTATATATTTGGAAATAACTTGAGCCCTTCAAACTTTACATAGTCTCAAGTTATGTTAAAGAGAGACAAGCATGGCAACAAATAATTGGGAGCAATAAAATCCATTTTCTTGTTTTTTAAGTAAAATGGACAATATGGACAGTACTATTTCAGTTTTATTATAAAACAAGGTATGTGATTATCAGTAAAGCAAAACTACCAAAACACTTATGAATTAACATCAGTTATTTCTCCAAAGAGTTTACTTGTTTACCTAATAATTAGTAATTATAAATAAAGGAAATTATGCACAAAGAGAAATTTTAAAAATATGTCAGCAAGCTGATACATTAGAACTTGATATAAATACATAAATATGCAAAATTAGAAATAAGGTTTCCATAACCACACCTTATTTTTTAATACAAAAATAGAAAATCAGATGCTTAATAGCAAAATACAATATGAAAAATAATGAACCAGACGCCAAGTATTATGGGCAAGCTGTAATTTTACATTTAAAAGTAAAAGTGGCACTACATGAAGTTTTACGTTCTTCTAAAATATGACCTTAATAAAATAATCTGTGATTTCGGTATGTCAATAAGCGCTTTCTTATCTGGCTGTAGATGAGTCTGAGCTCATGGTACCTGTATTGGAAGACGAGTTTATCAAGAACCATGGGCTTACTTTCTGTTGTGTTCAGGCTAAGGCATTTCCCCCAGGAACTGAAGGCTTTCTAAGACGTCTGTTCTTCTCATTCAGATTGAGTGAAGAACAACCTTCCTTAGCGAGTGAGACACAAAAGGTCTTTTGCAGGGAGTCTGAATGCTTCAGTGAGGAAATGTCTTGAATGCCTCTAGCCTTTAGTCATTGCTAGTGACATGCACTTCCAGGAGATGGAGCTATGGCTCAGTCTCAATTCTTACATTTTTCTAGCCTGCTCGAGGGAAAAAAAAAAAACCCAAACAAAAAATATTTAAAATTTCAGAATCTCTTTTAAACAGCTTAAAAAATAACCATTGCTGGACAGCACTGGAAGGAAAGAAATGAGTTGAGAACAGATCTGTAAATTGAATAGAAAAAGAGTTCCCTAACTTAAAGCACTTTAATATACTGTTTGTATAGGGGAATTGGAAGAACTTGAAGCCCAAGATTCTCTTGGATAGAACTCAGTATTTACGATTCTTCAAGAAGGAGAAAAAAGATTTTTTTTTTGAAAAAGAGAAAAGAATAAAATAATTCACAGTTGTTGATTGCTTTTAAAGGAAGCCAGCTTATTCTAAAATCTGATGAGAGAATATTCATATAACTTCTATAATTATTAAAATAGTGCTGCTTTATACTTTCCATCTGTATGCCCCTAAAATATTTTTTTATCTAAATGTCTTTCCTTCCACCTGACTTTGTTTAATCTTTATTAGAAGTCAGGGTATTACTGCACCTCTCTTGAGTTTGAAGTATGCTTTTATTCATTATATACTTCCTATATCAGAAACCTCCAATTTATGGCTGATTTCTCAAAATACAGTAATTGAGTTAGTTGCCAGCCATGCAGGGCAATCATCCAATCACAAAAACCTACTCTGTATGGAGGAAGACTGTTCTGGACCAGTGGATTAGGGGATGAGAGGTGTTCTGCCTGGTAGCCGGCTGTTTCAGCAACAATATCATAGCAGGAGTTTCAGAAATAAATAACAACCGTGACAATAATAATTGTATTTGAATAGTTTTTTACGAATAGAGAATGTTCCCGTGAGCTTTACCTTCTTTGAGCCCCCTTAGGACCATCCGAGTGTGTGAGATTGGCGTTATAATGTACTAAATTGACCGACAAGGCTCACAGAGGAGATGGATTTGACGGAAGTCACGCTGCTATGATAGTAAGTGGGAGAGTTTGGTTTCTCATGCACATCTTCAAATGCCTAACTTTATGCACTAGTGGCATGTGCAATGAGCTTTCTTGGCTGTTTTGTTTGAGTGTCTGTGTGAGGGTGCCTGTGCAATGATGGAAAATAGGCTGCTTTCTGATGGGGACTCGTGCACACCCTCATGTCTGCCAGGACTATCCAGGGACAGGAAGTGTAATCAAATGTTTCACCCAAACTGGAGGAGGCTCTGTTTGTGTTTACCTATGTTGCATCATTTTAGATATGAATAAAAGCATAATCAAACAACTATTTCCACTCTTAGGTGTGGTCCCCAATTTCATCACACTCTTTTGTGGCCCTGTTTAATTTATAAATGATAACATATGCAGTTTGAGTCTTTTATTCTAGGCTTCAAATTATCTTCACAATTCTTGATTTCTTATTTTAGTTAAAGCTAGACAAGGTGTGATGGCTGATAACTACTAGTTGAAATTAAATTATCATGAAGAGAGAAGTGAAATTTTCTCCTAACAACAAGATGGTATTTTTCTTTAAGTTAGAGGTATGAATGTGGATTTTTTTAATATGTAGATTTGGCTTTTCTCCTAATCTGTAGCTGCTAGAAATATGCAAGCTAGGTACAAACTGCTTATAATGCTAGTTGTTTCTCAATATACCATAGATATATAAAGAAAACCTGGACGTTGAACTCAGACCTTAGTTTTAATTCTGGCTCTTTCTCTCACCAGCTATGTAACTTCAGTTAATTATTTATCATCTCTGAATCTTGATTCCTTCAACCATAAAATGAGGAGGTGCTTGACCTCACAGGGATGTTGTGTGAAGGTTGAATAATAGGGTTCACCTTTAATACCATTAATATGTCCAAGGACAGTCCTGTCGCAGAGCAATCTTTCTTCACTACTCTTTCTAGCTATCCCATTCAGCGATTCTGTAAATGCCTGCTACTCTGCTGTTTCTTAAGATGTCTGACTGCTTTTACTTTGGGTCTGAGTCGAATCAAGGAAATAGGTGATTTGTTTTGCCAAGGAAATAAGAATTTACTGACTTTCTGAATTATGTGAGTTTTGTTTTCTTCTTATAAATTTGAGCAGGGAGCATGTAAATGCTACTTTCAGAAGACTAAGCACAAGTGAAACAAAATGAGAATGAAATACTCCCCCGAAAGGGTCTCCTAATCATCTCCACTGTTTTAGGCAAGGGCGGGAGGGGGCTCTGTCAGAGAGGCCCCTTGGAACGAGCAGCACAAGTGCGCTTGCCTGCACATCTCTGCCACCACGGAAAATTGGCTCTGAAACAACCATTCTGTGTTAGTTTTACCTGCATGTTTTCAGTTGTCACTGGCCCACTCAGGGGACTGAAGAAGAAAGCCCTTTTCCAGCACCAGTAAGTCTACAGGGGGCTGAGAGCTGGGATCTGCCAACAGAAAATTAAAGTAATAAGGAAAGCACATTAACAAAGGCTCTTTTTCTTTTAATAAACATAAAAAAAAAAAAGCTGTTCCACCAGGCATGGCTTTTTCCAAGTGTTACTGCAGTTAGCAATTTTCTAAAATTCTCACAATATAAAATATGAGAGAAAAGAAAATGTGACAGTGTACTTTTTGTATGTTTTTCTTCCTACTAGGCTCATAGGCTAATTATACC